CCCGAGGCTCTTGTCATGAGCTGCCAAGGCTATGGAAGCCTCTTGAGTTTAGTTTAGTTTTTTTTTTTTTTTTTTTTCCCCACAGTGTCTTGGCTTTCCATGCCTGAGAAACTCTCTTGGTGTTTTAGCCAGATCCGAATGTCTTAAGGGCTGATTCTGAGCCCAGAGTGCTGTTTATGGCATCTGCCGTTCTATGAGTCTGCTGTGTATTCCTCTTCCCATGTTGGATCGTTCTCTCCTTTTTAATTCTATCAGTTATTATTAGAAGACACTAGTCTTGTTTATGTGATCCCTTTGACACTTAATCCTATCATTATGATCAATTATGAACTGAAACTGATCACTTTGACCAGTAAGATGGCATTGGCACTTGCCACATTCATGGGAATGATTTGTAATCCCCTGGCACATTTCTAGCTCTACCATTAGGGTAATTCCAAGTAAGCATGTGCCAAACTGTACATCTCCTCCCTCTCTTATTTGCATTCTTATATTTAACAGGGATCACTGTTCAGTTAAATTTAAGCACCTAAGAATAATTGTGTGTTACTTAAAGAGTTCAACCAGTGGTATTAAGTAGAACAAAAAATACTAAAAGGAATAAAATAGTAAGTTGTTCCTCAACAGTCAGGACAAAGGCTGATCAAGTCATTGTTTCTCATAGTGTCCATTTCACTTCTACAGGTTTCCTTTTAGGTGCTCAGTTAGTTGTCACAGATCAGAGAGAACATACGATATTTGTCCCTTTGGGATTGGCTTATTTCATTCAGCATGATGTTTTCCAGATTCCTCCATTTTTTTTGCAAATGACAGGATTTCATTTTTTCTTTGCTGTATAGTATTCTATAGAGTACATATCCTATAATTTCTTTATCGAGTCTATTGTTAATGAGCATTTAGGTTGATTCCATGTCTTAGCTATTGTGAATTGAGCTGCAATAAATATTAAGGTGCAGATAGCTTTTTTGTTTGCCAATTTAATTTTCTTTGGGTAAATTCCAAGGAGTGGGATGGCTGGGTTGTATGGTAGGGTTACATTCAGGTTTCTGAGGAATCTCCAGACTGACTTCCATAGTGGCTTGACCAGTTTGCATTCCCACCAACAGTGGATTAGTGTGCCTTTTTCCCCACATCCTCACCAGCATCTGTTGTTGGTAGATTTCTGTATGTGAGCCATTCTAACCGGGGTGAGGTGAAACCTCATTGTGGTTTTAATTTGCATTTCCCTGATTGCTAGTGACCTTGAACATTTTTTCATGTGCCTGTTGGCCATTTGGATTTCCTCTTTTGAAAAATGTCTATTGAGGTCCTTGGCCTAATTGTCATCTTTTATTTAACTGCTAGCAGATAGGGTTAACTCCTGGTCCCACAGCCACCTGTCCCAGGCCGCCAGTGCCTCCTTGGGCACGGTGGGTGGGATTCTGTAATCCTCCTGCCTTCCACCTTGCATTTGGCCACTCCCTGATTCATCCCCGCCTGCAGCTCCTCCTCCAGCACTGCGCCCATCACTGTTCCTCCTGAGGGCAGTGCCCCTCTGAGCACACAACCTCCGCAGCCTCCACTTTGGTCTTGGAAGCAGCTCCCTCCTCTGCTGTCAGTCAGGGCCCAGTCCACTCCTCCCGGGAGGCATGCCAGTCTCCTCTATCTCCTTCAGTCCCAAAGATTCTTCACAACTCCTCCACTCCCGCCTTTTACCCCACACCCCAGATCGCTTGAGCTGGGTGGGCTCATCTCGGTTGCATGATTTTGCTTTTCTCCATACTTGACTTTCTGAGCACTCTTGGAGCCATGTGGCATGGACCAGGTCTTGTAGTACTTTGTAAAGATTTTATTGATTTATTTGAAAGGCAAAGAGAGAGATCGATCGATCTTTCATCCGCTAGTTCACTCCCCAAATGCCTCCAACAACCTAGGCTGGGCCCTGCTGAAGCCAAGAGCCAGGAGCTCCATTTGGGTCTCCCACATGGGTGTAGGGGCCCAAGCACTTGAGCCATTTTCCACTTCTTCCCCAGGCACATTAGCAGGGAGCTGGATCGGAAGTGGAGCAGCCGGGACTCAAACTGGTGCCCATGTGGGATAGGATGCCCACATGGCATCGCAGGCAGAGGCTTAACCTACACCACAACGCTGGCCCAGAAGCTGGTTTCTGAATACCATTTTCCACCAAAAGAGACCAAAGCACCTTGGAGAGATGGCTGGTTCCAGGGCTGAGAGAAGGGAAGTACAGATGAGCCTTGAATACCATATTGTACTAGAAAGCAAGGATGTGCTAAAGAGATAATAGAACACGTGAAAAGGACACGGGACTCAGAGGGACTCCCACTGGCTTGATCTGGGACAATTTGAACATCAAAATAAATGACAACAGTAATATTACCATGGAATAGTCATAGGACAAAATAAGAATCTGTGAGGTTATGCTAACATAAAAAGATAAATACAAGGAGAAAAGATAGTTCTTATCCTTTTAATACAAGATCAACTAATCAATACCGAGGGAATGATGGAGTTGGAAGATCATCATTATGAAACATTGTAACCATAATTGACTTGGACAAAAACCATCAACAGATGCAAAAACTAGAAGGGTAGAAGTTTGATGATGAACAGGGTATTTACAGAAACTCAAAAGTACCTCTCTACAAATAACTCATTAACTGCAAGGAGAAAATGATTAACTCCACAGTGGGTTAACATGGTAAGCACAACTATAACCGTTTAATGAAAGTTAACGCTACCAAAAGAGATGTACTGACCTCATGTGCCTGTGATACTGTGCCCTGAAAAGAACTCGTGGTTTCTGTGGTGCACCTGCCCGAATTGCATAACCTGAATCCAGCAATGAGGAAACATCAAACCAAACTGAAGGACATTTTATGTAATAATTGGACTGTGACCTCGAAAGAAACAACACCCTGGAATAAAGTTTATGATAGATAAGCTCCAGGTTGAGGAAGACTGAAGAGAAATGGACAGTGAATGCAGTGTGTGGCCTGGTTTGGAGGCAGAGTCAAGGAAACAAATGCTCTAAAGGAGCAATCAGTGAAGTTCAGTCATGAACCTTCGCTTGGATAAGAGTTGTGTAACAATGCCGCTTTCCCAGATTGTCTGAATGCATGGTGGTTAAGTAGGAGAAAGTTCTTTTTTTAAGATTTATTTTTATTTATTTGAAAGGCAGAGTTACACAGAGAGAGAGAGGTCTTCCATCCACTGGTTCACTCCCCAAGTGGCCTCCATGGCCAGGGCTGGGCCAGGCTGAAGCCAGGAGCCAGGAGCTTTTCCAGTTCTCCCACATGGGTGCAGGGGCCCAAGGACTTGGGCCATCCTCCACTGCTTTCCCAGGCCATAGCAGAGAGCTGGATCAGAAGAGGAGCAGCCGGGATAAGTTCTCATTCTTAGGAAGTCCACACTGAGATGTCTATGGATAAGAGAGGTGCCAATAGTTCTGGAAAATTATAGAGGTGTATAAGAACAATAGATAGATAAAGTGGTAGAATAAATGAAGTAACATGTTAGCGATTAGTAAATCTGTGTGAAGAATGCACAGGAGTTATAGTTTTTGTAACTTTTCTAAAAGTATGAAATTATATAAAAATGAAAAAGTAAGAGAAAAGAATATTTACCATAAACTGAAAGACTTACACATTACTACAGGGAGTATGAGGATGCTTCAGGAAGCTTGTGGAAAACAGAATTAAGGGGCCAGCGCTATGGCGTAGCAAGTAAAGCCACCGCCTGCAGTGCTGGCATCCCATATGGACGCTGGTTGAAGACCAGGCTGCTCCACTTCCGATCAAGCTCCCTGCTATGGCCTGGGAAAGCAGTGGAAGATGACCCAGGTCCCTGGGCCCCTGCACCCATGTGGGAGACCGGTAGAAGCTCCTGGCTCCTGGCTTTAGGTTGGTGTAGCTCTGGCTGTTGCAGTCAATTGGGGAGTGAACCAGCAGATGGAAGACCTCTCTCTCTCTCTCTGCTCTCTTCTCTCTGTGTAACTCTGACTTTCAAATAAATAAATAAATCTTTTATAAAAAAGGCAGAATTAAAAGATGTTTCTTTTGGTGCAAAAATTGTTGAAATTCATGAATAAGTTTTTTAATAAAAATTTGGCCAGCGCCACGGCTCACTTGGCTAATCCTCTGCCTGAGGCACCAGCACCCTGGGTTCTAGTCCTGGTTAGGGCACTGGATTCTGTCCCAGTTGCCCCTCTTCCAGGCCAGCTCTCTGCTGTGGCCCAGGAGTGCAGTGGAGGATGGCCCAGGTCCTTGGGCCCTGCACCCACATGGGAGACCAGGAGGAAGCACCTGGCTCCTGGCTTCGGATCAGCGCAGCGTGCCAGCCGCAGCACACCGGCCGCAGTGCGCAGACCGTAGTGGCCATTTTGGGGGGTGAACCAACAGAAGGAAGACCTTTCTCTCTGTCTCTCTCTCTCTCATTGTCTAACTCTGCCTGTCAAAAAAATAAAAATAAATTAAAAAAATATTTGTTTATATGAAAGAGTTACACAGAGAGAGGGAGAGATAGAGAGATATCTTCCATCCACTAGTTCACTCACCAAATGGCCACAAGGGCCAGAACTGGGCCAGGCCGAAGCTGGGAGCCAAGAGCTTCATCCCTGTCTCCCACACTGGTGCAGGGCCCTAAGGACTTTGGCCATCTTCCATTGCTTTCCCAGACCACAGCAGAGAGCTGGATTGGAAATGGAGCAGCCGGGACACAAATTAGCATCCATGTGGGATGCTGGTGTCACAGGCAGTAGCTCTACCTGCTATGCTACAGTGCCAGTCCCATTCATAGTTTTTATATAATCCACATTTTCCATCAGCTTTTTGAAGACCCCTAGTGTGTGTGTGTGTATGTGTATGTGTAATGAGAGACAGAAAGTCAATAGGACATATACTCCTACTTACATATGAAGGTACTTCAAAAAGTTTGTGGAAAATGGAATTCAAGTGAATTTTCTTGAACCTTCTGAAGCCCCCTCATATGTGTCTATCTCCTAGATTCCGTTTCAATGATGAGACCACTTTCTGCTCCAGGCCTGTCATCACGTGGGCGACAGTGACGCCTCCATTAGTGTTTGCGTCTGCAGGGTTACAACCTGGCCGCTTCCACAGAGCCCAGCACCTGCCCGAGGCCCCGCCTGCTCAGTAGCTGTCTGCAAGGTGAGAAGGCTCCATCCTAGTCCCAGCAGTGTCATTGCCCAGGGAAATGCTGGTGTCAGACCCCAGCCAGTCGGTGGAGGGCCAGCAAACTTCAAGCACCTGGAGTGAGGGCTGCGGGCGAGGGGCTGACACCAGAAAGCCGCGTCTGGGCCCCGTAACCAGGGACACAGAACACAGTGCCTGGGAGACAGCCTGCAGTGAGTCCCCACGTGGGGGCCTGGCCAGCGCCAGGAGCTTTGCGTCTTCTCAGGTGGGCTTTTGAGTAGATGATGACAGTGGCCCCTGCCCCCAGCTGTCCCCTCTCCAGGCCCTCCCGTGTCGGGGTGCTGGGTGAATCATCTTCAGACACTCCTTGGGGCCCATCTGTCCAGGCCGCAGATGCATGAGCAAACCAGTCACGTCTCGACGCCTGCTGGCTTCCCTGCGGTCCACACTCACACCCCTCGCTGGGTGACCCGACAGCTGTCTTCATGGTTTTGAAGGGCTGACGGAGAGGAGGAGGAGGAGTCTGCTCTGGGCTGCCCCAGCGGGCAGAAGTGCCATCAGCGGTGTGAACTACAGGAGAGTCAAGTGCCTCTGTGTATCCAGAAATGTCCGTGTTGTTCATGTGACTGTGGGTGGCAGGGGTGAAGAGTGAGGGAGGGGGTGGTTGTGCTGGCCGAGCTCTGAGAGTGCGTGGAACACTGCGTGCTGTTCTTACAGTACCTGCTGTCCTCTCACGGTCAAAGGTGGCAGGAAGTAGCTCGACACTGTACCCCCAGTCCAAAGGCCCCTCGTGAAGATTCTAAATCCATGAATGGATACTTGAGATTTTGCAGGAAATAGGTTTTTGTGTTTGACACGTCAGGTGCACGCAAGGGGTTGGAGACAGAGGCCAGGGCCAAGCCGTGTAAAGCCCTGTGGGCCATGAGGCCCCTGTCCCAAAGGCAAGCGAGTGACATGAGCCTGGAGCGGAGGCCAGACACCAGGAGCTTTCTGACGGATGGAAATTTGCAACAGCGACATGGACAGCCTTGCAGAGCAGGCTCTGGGGCCACTGGGCTCCGAGAGGGACACGAAGCACCCACCTCTGACGCTCACGGGCCCCCGTGATGGCACCTGTCTCCACGGAGGATCTCTTCAGTGCCTGCCAGGAGGTGGCGCCAAACTCTGGACCTTACCTGTCTGTGCTCCTTTCAGTCCTTTGGATTCTTCCCCCTGCAGCAGTGTTTCTAATAATAAATTGTTACAGGGGCCGGCACTGTGGCATGGTGGGTAAAGCCGCCGCCTGCACTGCCTGCATCCCATATGGGTGCCGGTTCATGTCCTGGCTGCTCCACTCCCTATCCAGCTCTCTGCTATGGCCTGGAGCAGTAGAAAATTGGCCAAGTCCTTGGGCCCCTGCAACCACATGGGGGACCCGGAAGAAGCTCCTGGCTCCTGGCTTTGGATCAGCCCAGCTCCAGCCACTGTAGTCATTTGGGGAGTGAACCAGCTGATGGAAGACCTCTCTCTCTGCCTCTGCCTCTCTGTAACTCTGCCCTTCAAATAAATAAATCTTAAAAAAAAAATAAATTATTACATAGGTGCAACAAGGGCCTGATGGGATAACTATTATTACACATTCATATAATGGAATGTTGTGTGGCCATTTACATGGGAGTGATGGAAGAAAGCTAAGGATGTGCAGAGATGGCCATCGTATCCTATTATGTGAAAGAAGCTGGGTTCAGTAGGATCTCATTTTTGAAAGCAGCAACAGCAGTCTGACATTGTGGCATAGCAGGTAAAACTGCCGCCTGCACTGCCAGCATCCCATATGGGTGCCGGTTTGTGTCCCTACTGCTCCACTTCTGATCCAGCTCCCTGCTAATGGCTTGGGAAAAGCAGTGGAAGATGGCCCGAGTGCTTGGGCCCCTGCTACCCTTGTGGGAGACCTGGAAGACTCCTGACTCCTGGTTTCAGCCTAGCTCAGCCCTGGCCATTGTGGTCATCTGGGGAGTGAACCAGTGGATTGAAGATACCTTCCTCTCTGTCTTTCTGTCTCTCTCTGTGACTCTTTCAAACAAATAAATCTTTAAGAACAGATAAAAAACTGCCCGGCGCCGTGGCTCAATAGGCTAATCCTCTGCTTGCAGTGCCGGCACACCAGGTTCTAGTCCCAGTCGGGGCGCCAGATTCTGTCCCGGTTGCTCCTCTTCCAGTCCAGCTCTCTGCTGTGGCCTGGGAGTGCAGAGGAGGATGGCCCAAGTGCTTGGGCCCTGCACCCGGGTGGGAGACCAGGAAAAGCACCTGACTCCTGACTTCAGATCAGCATGGTGCATCTGCCCCAGGGGCCATTGGGGGGTGAACCAACAGAAAAGGAAGACCTTTCTCTCTCTCTCTCTCACTGTCCACTCTGCCTGTCAAAAAAAAAAAAAAAAAAAAAAAAACTGAGCATAGGAAAAATAATAGATGATGCATACATCAAAACTTCTTATTTTCTAGGTAATGGGTCAAGGTATTTTCATTTTATATTTGTGTTCTAAATTTTGTAAAATTAGTCTGATTCAACCTCTATGAATTATTCTAATATTTGTCAAAGCCACCATCTTCTCTGCTAACCCTACCCTAAGTTTATCTTTTCTGCCCCTAAACCTCACTGTTGGCTGTGTATAATCTGGGACATGGCTATGTACGGTATGTGCTATAGCAAGATCATCTGTTTCTTGTTGGTCTTGTTTCACCAATTAAGAAAAATTTACTCTTGCCACATTGTGAGTTATTTCCCTATTTTCCCTGGCACTTAGCACTGGGTAAGAGTGCTTAGCAATTGGCCACTGGACAGTGGCTTGGTCCTCCGGGTGTCAGCTTTTTGAAGAGATTCCAGACCCCACCCAAACACCCACAGCTCTCCTGGGTACAATGCCATGGACGTGACCCAGCTGTCCACACCCCTCAGCCCTGTCCCACTACCCTGCCTCTGTCTCCTCTAGGGACTGGGCCGCAAGACCTGCAGAGCTTAAGGCCCTGTCCAAATCCCAAACGAAACTCTAGTTCTAGGGTACAATCTGAGGTTGGAAGGTTACTGTTGCATTCTTTTCTCATTATTTCTGAACTGCATTAGAGCTTGCAGGAGTCCTGAGTAGCAACCGTTCTTTCAGAAATTACCCTCCATCCTCTTCTCGAAGATGCTATGCCACACGGGAGCTGTGCAGAGCTGAGTGAAGGGATGGGGCCCGGAGAGCCAGCCCTTGGCCACACAGGAGCTGTGCAGAGCCCTTGGGCCTTTTGCATTGTCACCGATGACAGGTATCTACTCTGATGTTTTCCCTTGCAAACCCTCTGAAACTTCCCTGCAGTGTCATCATCACACTTTTTACTCCACAGATAATTCAAACTCCATGAGCGCTGTTTGGCACTACTAACCTCTCTCCTTTCCATCACTAAATCAGAGGAGCAGCCTCACTTACTTAAACAAGGCTCAGAACAGGAGACCCTGCTGTTCTCTTGACAGTTCTGTTTTTTTTAAGTCCACTCAGACATGATTCTCCATAGATACTTGAAGGGCTGTCAGATGCAAGGGGAACAAGATTTATTCTGTAACCAAATCCTATTGCTTTGACAACCCTAACATGGCTCCCGGCTCCCTGCCGCAGTCCTGCCCAGACCACCGTGCAGTTGCCTGGATTACTGCAACAGCCTCCTGCCCGGGCTGCTTGCCTGTCCAGTCTTGCTCCTCTAATCCTTTCTCCAGAGAGCCTAAGTGAGCTGTTTAACTTGTAAATCGGATCACACCACACCTCTGCTTAAAACCCCGTGATGCTTCTGCACTGCCTTCGGGATAAACTCGGAACTCCTGAGTGTGGCTTTGGAGGCCCGGCTCCTGCTTGGTGCTCCAGCTGCAGGCCTTGCCCTGCTGTTTCAGGCCTTGCACCCCAATCCCTTTCTTCTCTTCTCTGCACATCTCTGCCTAGAATGTTCCTGTGCCCTCTTCACTGTTAGCTCATCTGCCTTCCAGGTGTCACCTCCTCTAGTCCCACGGTGAGGCTGGGTTTTCTAGGCTTTCACCATCAGCTCTCTCGTCATCTGACCTTGTGATTGCCCGATCCATGAATCTTCCTACTGCAGACAATTAGCAACTTGAGGGCTGGGCTTGATTTATGATGGGATCCCCAGACAGATACTCAATAGTTAGAGTGAACGAGTAACAGATGATGGAAGAATGATTGCTGGAAGTGTCAAGAGGAAATTTCTATTCTGTACATGGAAGACTTGCCAATAGCTGGTAATATCCTAAAAAGGAACAGAGGGGCAGGTATTTGGTGCGGTGGCTAATCTGCCACTTGAATGCCCATGTCTCATATGCGAGTGCCTTGTTCAAGTCTTGGTTCCTCCACTTCTGATCTAGCTTCATGCTCCTGGACACCCTGGGCAGCAGATGGTGGTTTAACTGCTTGGGTCTCTGCTGCCCATCTGGGAGACCCAGATGGAGCTCCTGGCTCCTAGCTCTTCAGCCTGGCCCAGCCCTGGTGGTTGTGGGCATTTGGGCAGTGAATCAGAGGATGTAACCTAACTCCCTCTTTTTCTTTCAAAAAAAAAAAAATATAAAAAAACATAAAAGGAACAGACTGACCCACAAAGCATGGCCAAAGCCCCAGCTCTGAAAGTCTCCAAGCAGAAAACTCATCAGGCAGGGGGCTTCTTCAGGTAGCAGATTGGAGAATCCACCCTTAGCTCAGCCCCTATATGCAGGAAGCCACAACTAGATTCACTTCCTGGGACGAGCTCTGGGTTGGGGTCTCAACTCTGCACGGAGGGGCTTCCCTTCTTGTGAACTGGACATATCTGCACTGCTCACCTCACAGATTTTGAGGACCAAATGAGATTGTGCATACTAAAGTACTTTGTAAGAGCCTTAAAAATCTAATGATATGTATTATCATTATCAGTCTTCAGGGCTTGCAACTTCACTGAATCAGCTTATTTTGCAACGACATTAGAAAACACATTTCCATGTGCAAACTCTTAGAGCTGCGGGCAGAGCTGAGAATCAGCTCTATGCCACAGAATCCTCTATGCCAGCTGCTGCCCGAGGGAAGGGGTGGTAGTGGTCAGGAGCACCTGTTTAGCTGGGGTCTGCCCAAGGCCCACTGTTCCAGCCAGCAAGAACTGTCTTTGGAGCCCACTGAAACACCGGAGTGGGCCCTAAAATCCCAAATGATCATGAAAATCAGCAGAAACAAGAACTACAGGCACTCAGCAAACCTTTGCTTTGGGTCCCTTCATGTATGCTCCAAGTCAAGAGCAGGAGACAGCATTTCTTGTCCCTTTTGGCAAGACAAACCCACTGAAACCATTTAACTTAAAGGCTTTTTATTAGGAACCAGGGGGATGTGCTACTGATCCCTAACAGTCTTGAGCAGGTCCTCAGGCCCAGGATGGAGAGAGGGTGTCACAAGTGCTGAGCTCGGCTGCACTTGGCCTTAGGCCTGGAAGGAAAGACAGTGGCGACAGAGGCTGGCAGGAAGTGGCGTTAGCCAAACCCCCAGTAGGTGGGCTGGGGGAGCCCTCTACTTCCCCTCCAGCTGCACACAAGGCGGAAGCACGCCAGAAGACCGGGAACATGGCTGGGGTGGGCAGAAGGCAGCAGTGTTGTCTGCACCCTGGCTTCGTCCAGCGTTCCTTCACTTGCCTGCCCTCCACTCTTCTTGCTGTTTAGTGATTAGGTATTTGAAGAACTCATACACAGACCATGCGATGGCTGTGGAGGGGATCTGGTATATCACTCTAGCTTGCACCCCTCGGAAGTAGGCGGTCACACCGCCTACTTGATACACCGTCCTGAAGGCACTAGCCATGCCTGTGATGTGTCCTGTGATGTTTGAGTTCAAAGCCAGGGACTCCTGGGTATTGAGCAGTGTTTTGCAAACGTCCAGTGGGGTTGTGGCGGCGGCAGCAACGGCTCCTGCACAGGCTCCGGAGAGGACGTGGGAGCTAGGGTTGTACCGTCTCTGGGGGTTAAAGTGCTCTTGCAGGAATTCATAGGTCATGAAGTGAATGGCTTGGAAGGGAACGTTCATGGTTAGCTGGGTCGTGTAGCTGCGGTAGAAGGCCCCGGCCCCTTCGTTTTGCCACACTGCCCGTACACAGTCTGTCACTCGGTGGTACGGTGAGTTGTACATCTGCATCCTCTGCTTGACCACTGGGTGCATCATCATTAAGGAAGGAAACGGTGACAGCCACCAGCCAGCGACACAGTGTCCAGGTTCAGCATCCCAGGTCGGCAGGTCAGCCAAGCGAATGGGGAGAGAAGAAAGGAAGAGTGAGCTGCTGGCTAACCTGCCAAGTTAATGTTTCTCATTCTTTTTAGTGCAGGGGGTAGCAGAAGAGGTTGGCAAACAGTCAATAATGGACCCATGCCTTAGAGGGCTGCTGTAAAAATCAGCCAGTTAACACAAGGGCTGTGTCTATGGCTTAGTAACACTATCCGGCCCCTTCACAGCTCCCAACAAGAGCCAACCTGCTCACAGGGAATGGACTCATGGACACAGAGTCCAACCAGCCCCACGCTGACACTAAGAGCACCTGACTGTCAAGACATGAGATGGCATCCTTCCTGAGCGGGGCACGAAGTGCTACCACAAAGACAGCGAGATTCTGGGCCAAAGAGTTTAGCTTCAGTTTCCAAACATCTCCCGCCTCCTCAAGCAGATAACAAGGTGTGAGCTGGTCATCTTCAGCTTAGCTTTGGGCCTTTCCACCCTAGGGCCTTGCCCAGACAGACAAAGAACTGGACATGGCCACCTCTTTATGTTTGTTGGGGTGCCTCATTCTCACACTAAGACTGTTTTTGGACTACTTTCCTGCAGCTGAAAAGCAAGATCCAGGCAGCAGTGCAGGGACTGAACTCTGCAATTTAACCTTTCATTCCTTTCTCAACCGTCTCGTTCCATTAAGAAAGGCGCTATGTTTAAACGTCAAAATCCATCTCAGCCTCTTTGAAGAAAAATGAAATAATCTGCTAATTTTTAGATCAAACCCACTACAAAGGAGACTTCTGGGAAGGCTCAGAAACAGGTCAAG